TGTTACTGTTTTCAAGGAACCATCTCATGCTTTCATCAAGGTTCTGAATTATCTTTTTCATCTCTATTTCTGCTTATTTCCTTTCTTCTGCAATATTTTGGCTTCCTTTTCTCTTTTGCTGGTTCTTTTAGGTGTACACTTAGTTTTTGTGTTGTGTGATTTTCTTTCTTGAGGTAGGTACTTATTGCTATCAACTGCCACATTTGCTGTATCCCATAGGTTCTGATATGTCTGTATTTCCATTCATCTCTAGGTAATTTTTTTTCTCCTTTGACTGCCTTGCTGACCCAATAGTTATTCAGTAGTGTGTTGTCTGTTCTGCATATATATATGTAGTTTTCCTCACATTCTGATTTTTCTAGTGTGCTATCATGACTTGAAAAGATGTGCGGTATGATTTGTTTTTATAGATTTATTAAAGCTTTTGTCTCCTAGCCTATGGTCTGTCCCTGAGAATATTTCCTGTGTACTTGAAAACAGAAACATGCATTTGGAGTGCTGGGGCAAAATGCCTCTAGAGATCTGTAAGTCCATCTTATCAAACTTGTCATTTCTCTCTGAATGATATGGTCATTGATGAAAGTGAGATGTTAAAAGTCCCTACTGTGTTGCTCTCCCTGTTTCCCTTCTGGCCTATTTGTGTTAATATTTTGCTACTTCTATTTGAGTGCATTTAGATAAATGCTATCTTCCTGCTAAATCATTATATAATGTCTGTGCTTGACTTTTAGTGCCCTTTTTGACTGGAAATCTATTTTTATGTGCATGTAGTGCTTCCTGGTTTAGGTTTCCACTGGTGTGAAGTTGCATTCTTCTCCCTTTCACTCTTAAGTCTGTATTTCTCTTTATACTTTGAGTCTTTATAGGCATGCATAGCTGGATTTTGCCTTTTAATCTAGCCAGAGGAGGGCCCTCCCTAGTGGTGCAGTAGGTTAAAGCACAGCACTATGGAGCTGTCGCAGCTATTGTAGCACAAATTTGATTCCTGGCCATGGGGGTGACCCACATGGGGGTGACCCACATGGCGTGGCAGACCTCTACTTACCTGCCTGCTGCTCCCCTCAGCAGTGTGTTTCAACCTTCCTGCTCTGCTTCCTACTCTGTCTCTGGTGAATCCTCTCATCCCCCACACCTCTGGTCTGTTCCCCAGTTCTGTATGTATAAATAAACCTTTATTAAAAACAAATCTAGCCAACGGAGGCTGTATTTTAAGGTCAGCCCATCAAGGCTGTCATCCATGGGGCCTGATACGATTCATGGGAAACAAGTACCTTAGCTATCAGTAGAAATACTCAGTTTCCATTGCAGCCTTCCAAACTGCTGCCAGGGAGAGAGCTCAACCATGACATCTTGGAACCTGTGGAGGCACTTTTCAGGCTTGAATCAAATCCCAATTATTGTACCTCTCAAGTGTAGAAGTTGTTAGCCCTACTCTCCAGGTGGTTCCCTTTTGAAGCCTTTCCAGTATGGTTGAGGTGGAAGCCATGGTGTCTTTCCCTCCCTGAGCAGATGTGGCAGTAGACAAACAGCTTCTTTTCATTTTTTTAAATTGAGATCCAATTTACATTTTACACACTGTGAAATGACCACCACAGTAGTAATATATATCACCATGCATGGTTAAACTTTTTTTTTTAAGATTTATTTATTTATGCATACAAGAACTGGGGTATAGGTTAGAGGTGTGAGGGTGAGAGGATTTACCAGAGACTAAGTAGGAAGCAGCAGGTGAGATAGGAGAAATCTGCTAAACCATGTGGGTCAGCTCCCTGGCCAAGGATCAGGGATAGAACTCATGGTTGCAATGGCCGTGGATAGCTTCATAGTGCTGTGCTTTAACCCCGTGCGCCACCAGGAAGGCTCTGGTTAAAATGTTTTTTATCTACTGATGAGAACTCTCAAGATCTGTTCTTTTAGCAACTTTAAAATATAGTTTTTTGGCCCTCCCTGGTGGCTCAGCGGGTTAAAGCACAGCACAAAGAGGCTTAAGCCACTTCCGCATGAGTTTGATCCCAGCCTGCCCCGGAGGAGATCCACATGGAGCGGCAGACCTCTCCTGACCCGCCCGCTGCTCCTCTCAGCAGTGTACTTCGTCGATCTGCCTGTTTTGTATCCCACTCTGTCTCTGGTGAATCCTCTCACCCTCCACATCTCTGGCCTGTTCTCTGGCCTGTACCCCAGTTCTGTATGAATAAATAAATCTTTAAAAATATATATATAGTTTTTAACTACACAGCTCCTACATCCCAGCCCCATGACTTTATTTCATAGCTGCAAGTTTGTACCTTATGATCACCTTCACCCTTTCCACTCAACCCTCTCCCTCCCCCAGCGCTCCTGCTGTGACTACAACTTCTGCTTCTCAGAGGCTGTAGGAGACTGAGTGTGTGACATGGGCAATAGCAGATTGCCTTGACTCTGCAAGTCCCAGATGGATGATCTGTTCTGCTGCTGTCTCTGTAGGTGCCAATTGTGACACCCTGGCACACCCCTAGCACCCTATCAGTAGCTAAACAGTTAAGGGAGAGAGAAGACACCAAGTTGTGGTGGGTGTCAGTTATTTGTAAAAGAACTCAAATAACCACTTGCATTATGGACATACGGTTGGGTCACCAGAAGTGAGTTCTAAGCTTGCAGAGCACCTGGTATGTTGCAGTTGACACATTTCAGCATATATTTTTAGCTGCTTAGCTTTTTAACATGTTTGGATTTTGTTAGTGTAACCTACTGCTGTTTCCCGGTTTTGCCCATGGACTCCATGTAGTTTCTCTGAGACCTTTCTCATGGCAGCAGGAGAGGGGAGTGGGCTGTGTTGACTCCAAAAGCAGTCTTATGTTCATTGTTTTACTCTGTAAAGATCAGTCTGTTCTAAAGAAAAAATATAAATGTGGGTTCTTTGCTGTATTTAATTTCATCACACTAGAATTCATTCACTAGTTTAAAATGTGATTATTTCACTGCTTCATGTGTATTATGAAGCTACAAAGAGAACATTCAGAATTGAATAGATTTGTTTAAGTTATAGCATTTGTATCATCTACTTGAACAATTATAATTTATTCTATGTGAAACAGAAGTATTCTTTGACCTTTAAAAAAGCTTAGATATGGGGGGGGAAGGGAGGGAAATGCATGGGACTATAGTGGTGGCACAGGGGTGATCTGGTGATGGGAAACCCGCGGGGATTACAATCGAGATGGAAAAAAAAATGTGCAAAATGATGTAAAAATAAACTTTGTAATAAAAAAAAAAAAGCTTAGATAATGCACAGAAGAGACTACAAAATAAAGACACCGAAAATGTAACAGAAATTTGAATTGTAAAAGCTGGCATGTAGAAAGCATTAAAACCAGACTCTTCGGCCCTCTCTGGTGGTGCAAGGGGTTAAAGCAAAGCACAATGAAGATATCCTCAGCCACTGCAACTTGAGTTCGATCCAGCCAGGGAGGTGCAGCAGACCTCAAGTGACCAGCTCGTGGCTCCCCTCAGCAGTGTACTACATCAATCTGCCTGTTCTGTTCCCGTTTGTCTCTGGTGATTCCTCTCACTGCCCCTGCACCTCTGGCCACACACACATGCACACACCCTCTGGCCTGAACCACAGTTCTTGGCATAAATAAATCTTTAGAAAATAAAATAAAGCCAGCCTATTAAATTGAAAGAAGATATTGGCAATCTTTCAAAATGCAAAATAATTGTGGGAGGTTAATAGCAGTGGCAAGGCAGGGACTGATTTCACTGCTGGAAAAAGTAAGTCTGCTAGGCGTAAAACTGGAGGATATGGCAAAGTAAGAAACCAGTAGACAGGCAAGTAAATGTTGAGACTAGTTATTTCTGTATTTACTTCCAATAAAAAGACAAAAGTAATCATTTTGTATCCCCCTAGACAGTGTAGATAGACTAAATTATGAGAGCTAAAGTACCTTCAGTGGTACAAGTTGTGGAGTTACAAGGCTAGTCCCGTGGGAGATGACACTAACACAGGAAAGGTCACTCTCGGTCAGATGGCATACAGTTTATAAATAAAAACGTTTTTCAGATGGCAAGGAAAATAATATTGATGTGGTCAGTACCTGTTCCTTTTTGCCTACTAACATTATCTTATACCAAAAAGGAAAAATTCAATTTGAGGTATGAAGGAGTTGCTTTTTAAGTCAACTTCAGTAATTTTCCATACAAAGTTGGCTTTTCGAACTTCTACATGTGATTCGGATATATTTTTAAAGACTTCAGAAATAGTTTTAGAAATATCCTTATCACCAGCTAGCCACATTGTATTTCTGCTTACTTCCTGGTACATTGTGGGAAGTTGGTTTTACCCTCACCAGGAATAAATATCTCCTATCCTAGTGGGAATTAGAAACATGCAAAGGCCAATGAAAGGATGTGGTAGAGAAACTGCCAACATTTTAATTTTAAAAACCTTTGTGCATTCATTAGACTAATATCTGACATAAAGTGCGCTATTCAGACAAAGGAACTCAGTTTACGGGGATTTTCTCTCTTGCGTCTTCATGAAAATTCCTAATTTAATATGAATATAGTGTGGGTTCCAATTGAGTACTGTACCAGCATCAGATTTTCTTGCCACACAGAGCAAAGTATTAACTGTTCCCTATCTTTTTTTCTTTTAATATTTACTTATGTATGTATGCATGCCTGCATACAGAACTGGGGTATAGGCCAGAAGTACAGGGATGCTGAAAGTATTCACCAGAGACAGAGTCGGGGACAGAACAGGCAGACTGAGGAAGTACACTGCTGAGGGGAGCAGTGAGTGGGAAGGGAGAGGCTTTCCGCACCATGTAAGTCACCTCCCTGGCTATGGCTAGCTTCATAGTGCTGCGCTTTAACCCCTTGTGCCACCAGGAAGGGCCCACGGCTCCCTAACTTTGCTGTTGCTGTATTTGTCAGACCTCTTTCTCACATGTGGCCATGAAAGTCACAGTGAATGGGATTCTACATCTCTCTAATGGTAATATTTCTTGACATTATTGCAGGTAATATTCCACTTGTGCCTGCCAGCAATGGCACAACAGCACCATCAACTGTGCTGAGATCAAAGAATCCAACAGGCACAACCGTGAACTTATCCACAACTCCAGTTTCTTCAGTGTCAAAGTATGGGACAGGCACTACCAAGAAATCCACTACACCTGCAACTTCATCCACAGCTCCAGTTTCCTCACCCTCAAGGAGTGGAACCACCACCACCACCACCATGAAACCTGTAACACCTTCTAACACAACTTTGACCACCACGAAATCGACAACTAAGAAAACAAGTGCTTCACCAACCACAACTCAAAAAACTTCAACATCGTCAGTGACCACAGCCCATAATAGTTCGGTGACATCAGCTTCTTCATCAGTAACAGGTATGTATTAAGATTCACCTATTTTTACAATGCAGAAATGTTTTTCAGTGCCACAATTCATCATCATTCCTTTCTGCAAAAATATGGAAATTAAAAGTGACTTAAGTAAATTTTCAACTTAATAATTAGCCCTAACAGAATAATTAGACAAATTCAAGCTGCATGATTTATGGGTATGGTTTGGTTTTAATTCAGTCACAGGACTCTGTATTTAAAATTTAATGCATATGAAATCATGGATTAAAAACCTTAAGATTCTCTTAAATTACCCATGATTTAAGTTCTGTTTAAAAATTATTATAAAAGTTGTTATTAGAGGCCCTCCCTGGTGGCGCAGTGGGTTAAAGCGCACAGCATTGAGAATCTAAAGCCGCTTCCGCATGAGTTCCATACAGGCCTGTCCCGGAGGTGATCACATGGCGCGGCAGACCTCTCCTGACCCGCCCACTGCTCCCCTCAGCAGTGTGCTTCATAGATCTGCCTGTTCTGCTCCCCACTCTGTCTCTGGTGAAGCCTCTCACCGCCCCTGAGCCTCTGGCCTGTATCCCAGTTCTGTATGCACAAATAAATAAATCTTTAAAAAAAAAAGTTATTAGAATGTTAGTTTCTTTTGTGTTTTATATTTCTACTTGAAATCAACAGTTCTTGCTGTTATAAAATTTCCAATTTATTCAAAAGGAGAAATTTCATATAGAAACATTTACTGAACAAATAGGACCCAGTTTCAAGATTACAGCTGTTATCTGGGCCTATTTTGTTAAGGCAAGAAATCTGAAGAAAAAATATTCCCCCAATTTTGGTAAACCAAGTCCAGCACTGTGAATGACTTTAAGACATTGGGATTGCAAGCACTGGAGTGTTCTCTACGAAGGTATACACTGGATAAACTGAAGAAAATTAGCAGGAGAAGTAACTTCCTGTTTTTAGCTTCCCCTCATCCAGTTCTGTGTTCACATATACAAAATTAGAATGGTTTAGCATATTAACATGTTTTCAAAAAATATTAAAGCATATTTTTTTCTCTTGTTTTCTTCTAGTCACAGCAACTGTTAATTCCAAAGACAGTAAATCATCAAAATTTGACACTGGCAGCTTTTTCGGCGGTATTGTATTAACACTGGGAGTAGTATCTATTCTTTATCTTGGATGCAGAGTGTATTACTCGAGAAGAGGCATTCAGTATAGAACCATGTGAGTTTGGACTAGCCAAAACTTCTTATTTCTATATCTAAAATAGCATGGGAAAATATCAGGAAGTCATTGTTCACCAATGATGAGTAATTTATAGATTTCCATCTCCCACCATAAGAACACAGGATTTGTCCCATTCAAGAAACATAGTTGATGTGTCTAGCAGTGATGAGCATTTCTAGTTTTCACTTACTGAACAACAACACTGATGAAAATGATAGCTCCCTAGAGAAGCATACAGAGACAGTTCAGTGAAACAATTACGAAACAGGGTTTGGGCAGATATAACTTATTTCTGTATTTGCTTAGCAAAAATGACATAATGAGAAAAGCACCTTGGGCATAGGGCATGCAGATTCCATGAAATATGGATGCAAAGGCTATGCAGTGGAACACCTGGTACAAGTGTCCACTCAACTAAGGACAGTATCTGTGAGAAGGAGCCACTAAGCAGCAGCCATCTTGAGGATGGGTCTGCTGGACAGCCTGAAGCATTATTTGAATTCTTAGTACCACTACAATGTACCTAAAAAACTTCAGGCAAAGTCATGACATTTGATTCTGAAGCTTGAAATTATTCTTGTTAAATTTGTGAGCACAAAAAATTTTGATACAAATACAAAACAAAATAATTCTAACTTTTGCTATATTACAGCGATGAACATGATGCCATCATCTAAGGGAATCCCAGACCAGTGGAAAGCAGCTGACGCAGCCCTCTCACTTTCGGTTTATTAATAAAACATTGTTCTAGTCTTGAAAATAATAGGCCATTCCTATGATATACAATATATTGTGTACATCATAAGGATCTATACATATTAAAGTAAAATGGGTTGGTTTTTAATGGCCATCTGTGGCATTCACCTAGCAAATATAGAATAAAATGAGCCCTTTGATGTGACATGATTGGTTGCAGGCCTGTGTGACGACACTGAAGGCATGATGCCGTCTAGGCACACAGAAAAGGGGCTGTCACAGCACTCATGAATTTGTGAATATTTGCTGATCACACAAAGAATTCAGTGCTTGGCACAAATCCTAATTCCTAATGCCCCACAGAAGTTAAAGTTGTACAAGTGAGCCAGCCAGGAGCTCAGCAGAATTTCCAGTGTCTCTTTAGAAAGCATCAATATTCTTTATACTTTTTAAAGATAAAACACAACCACCATCAAAATCATAAAGTCCCTAACAGTACTCACCTGGGCTTAGTCTCGTTGGTGAACCTGTGTCTTTATGAACTTCTTTTTGAGATACCAATGGCAGTTTCTTTTCTTTCAGTAAATTACACTGTTTAATAATGTTTTTAAATTAGTATTACAGATTAGTGATTTAGATTATCTGCTACTGTGACATTGTTACTACTGGAAATGTTTTATGTTCAGCTATTAACTTTAGTAAGTTGAGATGTACAGTTGCTTAAATGTCTAGAAGTGTTAATGTAAATACATCGAACCAAAAAGTCTTACAAGATTTTCAAAATAACATTTAGGATGAAAACATACTGGAGAAAAAGCACAGTATTCTAGAGACAAGACACCACTGTTAGCAGAGTTTGTTTGAAGTGTTTCCAATTTATACTGCAGCACTCAGAACTCAGGGTTAAGTTTGGACAGAAGAGTTATTTAGTCATTACTAAATTCTAACTTGTGTGTTCAGATTTTGTTTTGCAGAGAAAGCCTTATAGCAAGGATTGGGGTAAGAACCTTTTGTATTATAGCCAACTGAAGTGATACGTAGACTCGGGCACTGTACTCAGGTTAGTTTGAAGAGAGATGTGGACAACAAATTGTATGTTAAGAATCTACTACTTCCATTTCTTTGCAAAATAATTTGATGTCCTATAGCAATGTGTTTCAAATGCAGTTGGTTTTGTCTTCTGCATTCTTGGCATTTCAGTGCTCCAAGTCAGTCAGAACTTTACAGAGGTCTGCAATTTTCTTGACTGTTTTAAGCATGTTGTAGATAAAGTTTTGTTAGTACCAAGTGTCATTATTTGTCCTTAAAGTTTTCTACCCTTTCAATATAAAATACTAATACTCATGTGCAGTGGCAGTTTTGGTTATTCCCAAAAATTGAGGGAAAACAATGATGCAAACCACCTTATAGCAAGTTACTGGAGTTACTTAAGCACATGTTCAATAAAAATTAGCAGTAGGTTATAGTGATAATTTTGTATTTTCAGAAAAAAATATTTTGAAACAAATTCCTGTTTGTTTTTGTTTTTTTGTTTTTTTATAATGATCAGCTTTTTGGCATTTTATTGTTACTGAGATGTATTTTTAGAATAAAATTTTTTGTCTCCAAAGAGTTTCAGTTTATGGTTTTTGCTTAATTTCCTCCCACTCAAAAGAAAACTAAGAGCACAAATTAAAAAGACAGATTATTAGGACTTGAGTATATAAGTTAAATGTGGTTAAGCCCTAGTCCCACTGAAGATCACCAAAATTAAGACACATCATCAGGATTTCCACTTGAGCCTTTAGCTTGTCCCCTTGTGCTGCACCTGCTCTAAGTGTAGTGTTTCCAACTGTCTTTTCTTCTCTACAATGGGAACCGTTCACTGTTATCTGAAAATGTCCCAAGTGACCAATGGGAAGGGTACAGCTGAGGAGCTCCTTAATAGAATAAAAACATACCTTCTTAGTTTTGTGTTCACACAGTACCTCACACAGTACCTTCTGTTCACTCTGACAGTTACCCACACACAAGTGTCAGCCTTTGGGTATGTGTCTTGCTTCTGGCCAATGGTATGGGAGTGGGCATAGTAACTATCCATTGACCAAGGGGGATAAAGGGATCCTTCCATGTTTCAGCAAGTTACTGCAAGTGATATCACCAAGATGGCAACATAAGTTGTTCTGATTTCACTCCTCCCCTCCCCTGCCCCAAGATGATTTGGGGATAAGACAGCATTAAGGGAATCCTAGAACTTCAAGGTAAAAATGAAACACCACCTGTTCCACAGAGACCAAGACTGACCACTAGAATTTAAGAGGACCTACTCGGACCTTTCTCCCCACCCCAGGCCAGTGCACTGTGCAATGAGGTCCTCCCCAGGCTGTGGTTACTCCAGTGGGAAAGAGCCCATGGTCATCCAGCTCCCCCAGTATATAGGTCACTTCTTGAATGCTCTAACCCTACAGGGATTGCTGAAAAACCTCTAGCATTTGAGCGCTGGGAATGCTTATGACAAAGGATGGGGTGAAAGCAATGCCAACACCCAGATTCAGCCTACAGCAACCTAATAGTAACCCCCAACCAGTGGCTCTGCTTGGTGGGGGCAGATCTCTTGATTCAAGTCCTCAGACAAGCCTCACCTATAATGAGTGAAGACCCTGATGCCAACACCTGAAAAAGCTATATACCCCAACTACACTGGAGCAGAATCCAATAAGCAGAGCTGACTGCTGAGCAAAAAACAGCTTCAGTGGCCAGGGAACTTGAGGTGCAGGTTACTCAAGATCACAAAGAACCTTGCTGCTGGCTATCAGCTGTGCCTGGAGGAGGGGGGAGGGAGGGGCTAACCTATAACCCTGCCCTTTCTGAACCAAGTCTTCAGAATGATTCAACATATGCAGTTAGGGTGACACATCGCATAATGAAATGCAAATTAAAAAAAAAAAAAACATGATCTCAATACATGCAAAAAAAAATTTCCAAAATTCAACATCCTTCATAATAAAAAAACCTCCAAATTAGATACATAAGGAACTTACCTCAACATAAACAGATCACATGACATATCCATAGCTACCACCATAATAAACAGCACAAGACTGAATGCTTTTCCTCTAAGCTCAAGGACAGGTGAGCATATCTATTTGCCACGTCTACTCATCAGTACTGGAAGTTCTATCTGGTACATAGTCAATAAAAAGATATAAAAGGCATCAGAATTGGAAAGAAGTAGATGTGACTTTGTGTAGATTACATGATTTTTTTTATCTAAACATACTAAAGATTTGACCCAAAAACTTAGCCCTTAGTCAACTAGTCCAATAATGCTGCAGTATACACAGTAATAATTTAAAAAGCAGTAGTATTTACATCACCAAAAAAAATTATCTGGGAAAGAAAATACTATTTACAATAATATGAAAAGCAGTAACAAAATCAGGAATAAATTTAGTCGAGATGAAAGATCTCCCCTCAAAAACCTATGATAATATATTGATGGAGAAGACAAAGATGTCCTGTGCTCAGGGGCTGGAAAAATATAGTTGAAATATCAATACTACCAAAGTCTATTGTAGATTCAATGCAATTTTTATCAAGATTCCAAAGACATATTTTACAGAATTAAAAATGCTAAAATTTATAGGAAACCAGAAAAGACTCAAGTAGCAAAAACCACCATAAGAACAAGGTAGGAGGCATCACTTTCCTGACTGCTAAAATGAATCAGATACAAAAACCTTTGTATTTTATGATAGCATTTAGATGAAATACACAAAGTAGATAAAAATCACAGAAACAAAGCAAAAAGTGCTTACCAGAAGCAATGGGGAAAGGGAATGGATACTGATTGCTTAAAGGGCTTGTAATTTTCTTTTGGGGGGGAGGGTGATGAAATGTTTTGGCAGTTAGTAAGAGGTGGTGGTTACAGAACATTATTATTTGATGAACTAAACGCAACCGAATTATACATTTTAAGTGTTTAATTTTATGTTATGTGAATTTCTTTTTGAAATGAAGTTTTCTCAGTTTAGTAACAACTCTTCTAGGAAATTAAAGTCAGTAGAGAGAAGACTTAAAGTCAAGTGATTACTGCAAATCCCTGTGGAGGCCCCATTCACTCCTAGCCCTGCAATTCCCATACATTCTACACACTGCCTTCCCCTATGGCAGCAGTACCAATGGTAAATTAGCCATTCCCATAATCTGCATCACCTTCTCCACTCTGACACAACTGATGTTTTTTCCCATATTACCTAAGGTGCTTTATGAATTCAACTTCAAGCCCAACCCTCCAGCCTTCACAAACTCCTTTCAAATTCAAATAGATTATTCCCTGCTACTGCATTCTTCAGAAACTACAGCTATGATCACACCGCCCATCTGCTAACAAGCAGCAGTTATCTCTCCCTACAAGATGCCAAGGCCATCATTTGTTGCTCCCTCACATATGCTCTCCATCCTACCATTCCAATTTTGTTTCCCTTTATTTATGTTCATTGACCTTCTGATGATTCATTTTTTCCAAAAATGCTTCATGCACTTTTGTGTCTCATTTTTCATCTCCCTTGAAAATACTTCCCAATACTTCCATTCTCCAACTTTGAATATTCTAATCCTATCTAATCTCTCTCTATCCCATCGACTAGTAATTTAGCTACAGTACTTTAAAAAACATTCCATAGCACCTTCTCTTACAGCAATTATTTTCCACTTTCAATTAAAATGACTTAGTACCTCAGTACCTGGCACCTATAAAATAGGAGTAACATGTTTTAATTTATAATTTTTCCTGTTCTCTAGCAATGTTTACTCTTTTACATCTCTCCCTTTACACATGGGCAAACCTATCACTCATCTTCATACCTACCCCACTCCCATGCTTTTTCATCTTTGATATCTACAAAATATACCCCAATTGCTCCAACTAAAATATACAACAAGTTACTCAGCCAATACAATGGTCTCAAAATATATAAGCTTCTCAAGAGTAAATCTAGTGGAAACAGATTGTACATGTAGTCATCTGAAATTTTCAGTCTATAAAAAGCACATTTAAAAAAAAGCACATAAAGATGGAAAAACCTTTAGCTTCCTTCTTACTCTGAAATTGAGATTAATGATTTTATACAAAAATCATTGGATATTTACTTACTGACATGGAAAGATGAAGACTTTCAAAGCACTGTTAAGTGAAAAGGTAATCTGGAGAACATTTATAAAACACAACTATGTACATGCTTGCATGTATATACACCTACACACTCAGTGCATACCACTAAAGAGATTCAAAGTATTAGGGAGAAGTTAAGGAATTAAATATTTTGATATACTTACCTTGTCTGGATCTTTTACAAGTACTAGTCAAATTTTACCTGGCTTTTAAAAACACACACACATGCAATGCCATGAGAATGGAATGACATACTCAACAGACTACAAGTCAATAAATGCCAACCAAGAATAATTTACTCCAAAGAGTTCTTCATACAAGAAGAAAGAACATCAAATTACCACAATGAAAGGAAAACTACAGCAAGGCACAACAGTAAAACTTCCAAGAGTCCAAGACAAGGGAGAAGAAACAGATAACCTATAAAGGAAAACCAATGAGGCTGACATCAGACTTCTCCAAAGAAACACTATGGACAAGAAGAGAATGGAGTGACATAGTCAACAAACTACAAGTCAACAAATGCCAACCAAGAATAATTTACTCCACAAATTTTTTCTTCAATGAAGAAAAAATAAGAACCTTTTCAGACAAACAGAATCTCCAGAAATTCATTATTACTAAACTCCCACTTCAAAACATACTATAAGAAGCTTTAAAGCCAAAATCAATAGAAGAATAAGAAAATGAGGCAAGGGAAAAAGTCACAAAAAGACAAACAGGCAAATACAGACACCAATGTATCAATATTAACTCTAAATGTAAGTGGAGTTAACTCATCAATAAAAAGACACAAAACAGTATGCTGGACTAAAAAACAAAATCCAATCTTCTGCCTCCTGGAAGCACATTTAACTATGAGATAAACAGACAGAAAGTAGAAGTTTGGAAAGCAATCCTACAAAGAAAGAGACCAAAAAAGAAGGCAGGAACAGCTATACTTATAGCAGATGAAGTAGAAATCAAGCTAAAACACAGTAAAAAGTGACACAGGTGGACACAACATTATGATTAAGGAGATATATCAGGAAGATATAACACATACCTTAATATGATAAAAACCATATATGACAGGGC